TGGAGGAGTGCAGACTATGCTCAAATGTCTTGGTAATAGCTACGTCCGGCATATGGGAACTTCCGGTAATATAATTAACGCGGTATACGCAACAGATATCTGGGCGGACTTTGTATTCTCGGTACTGGACATATTAGGGAGTGAAAGTTATAGCATTTGTAAGAATCAATAATATAGCTAAATAAACAGAATCAAGAGGGAATTTTTAAAAAACCTCCAGTGCTAATTAATATAAAAAAAGTTAAAGGGTAAAAGTTGTGCTGCCCTCTTCTCGCTCCTAGTAACGTCAGTGGTTTGACTTGCCAAGTAAATTAGCGTATCGACGAAACGAATCGCAGAGAGACTATTTTTCACAAGCGTTAAGTCTGCCGGGCTTTTCTTTGCAGATGACCAAAATTTATGCAATAAACACGGATGTGAAAGAAGGCGAGGAAAAGCCAAAACAGCAGCAGGCGGAAGGCGATGTGGCCGCACCAACCGTTCTACAGCCTGCTTTCTTCCCGATCACTCTACCTATTTCATCAATTGGTATTTATCACATGCATTTTACTTCCTTTTTTCTCAAAATCCCACATAGATGAGCAGTAAACTTCTTCCACAGAACTGGTTCTGTTTGCGATTCAGGGCTTGTTGATTGTGCGATAAAACAGGACCCTTTTATCAAATTAGCTAAATCAAAGATTCCACTTATCAGCAGGGCATTTTCTGGAATCATCACAGAATCGATTCAAATTCTTTTAATTCGATTTTGCTGGCAGCATTTAATAAGCCAAAGCTGTATTTATCACTGTAAAAAAGCTTTGAAAAACTGTTGCTGAATACCACGGATACCAAGAAGTTCGAACAAAAAATCGGTGTGAGACTTACATGTTTGTGACATCTGTATAATGAAACCAAACTACTGCAAGTGTTTTCCTTCTTCGCCTCCTCCTTCCCTTTTTGTTCCTTTTTTTCTGCTCCCAGGATTAGTGATACCTGTCATTAACCAATTTCACGAAATCCAGCCCATGAATTAACAAAATGCGTGCTATATGATATTCTAACAGCTGCTTTACTAGACTGCTGTCGATAAGAACCGGGCAGGTCAAAAACAAGATTCATCAA